GTCCAGGGAGCTGTTTGGTTGGTCACATATAGCCCTGCAGAAAAGGACTTGCAGGTATTGCTGGGTGAAAACCACAACATGAGCCAGCAATGTGTCTTCACAGCCCAGAAAGCCAATCGTACCTGGGGTGGCGTCACCAGCAGAGTGACCAGCAAGTTGAGGGAGGGGATTCTCCCCCTTTACTATCCTCTGGTGAGACCCCCCCCTTGCAGTTCTGTGTCCAGCCCTGAAGCCAACATAAAATGAATGTGGAGCTGCTGAAGTGAGTCCAGAGGAGGCCACAAAGATGCTCCAAGGGCTGGAGCACCTCTGCTATGGAGACAGGTTGAGAGAGCTGGGCTTGTTCAGCCTGGAGAAGAGGCTCAAGGGAAACCTTAGAGCAGCCTAAAGGGGCCAACAACAAGGCTAGAAAGGGACATTTTATCAGGGGGTGTAGTGACAGGATGAGAGGTAATGGTTTTACATTGAAAAAGAATAGATTTAGATTGGATATTAGGAAGAAATTATTTACCGTGAGGGTGATGAGACACTGGCACAGGTTACCCAGAGAAGCTGCATCTGTCTTAACCCTGGAAGTGTTCAGGGCCAGAGTGGACAGGGCTTGGAGCAACCTGGTCTAGTGGAAGGTGTCCCTGACCATGGGAGGGGGTTGTAACTAGATCATCTTTAGGGTCCAACCCAAATCATTTTGTCATTCTATGATTCTATGCTTCTATGCAGGTATCTATGGTAGGGTGAACTAAGCATACCCCTAGTCTTCACTCACTATAATGACCAGATCTCCATTGAATATAGGGGGAACATACCACCTAGCTCACATGTAGATACCTACATTCACCTGTGTCTTTGTATCTGTAAAACATCTCCCATCCTTTGTCCCTGGGATGATACACCTCGTTATGTGGTGGCCTGTGGAGGCTGATAAGGTAAGGTATGGCTATTACCATCTGGATAACTATGACCTTCTTTAAAGCTGGCCTGAAAGCTGGCTAACAGAGCATGTCTTTCTGTCATGCCCAGGTTCTGGTGGTTTCTATCTGCATTTTAAAAACAAAGAGGCAGGTTATCCTTAAGTGCATGCACTGCAAAGAAACCTTAACATGTGACCTCCCTCCCGTCATTTTTCTAAGTAGTAAACTACAGCATGTTCTGCAGCAGAACATGTGAGGGAAAGGAGGGGAGTTGGTAACGGAAGATGCAGTTGCTCTCCGGTAAACCTCATTAAAGTGCTGGAGGAGACAAAGAAATACAGTAATACTGAATACAGTAATAAAGGATTTTGACTCAAATCTCCTTTGGGGGTGGCCAGATCAGCCTGTCCAGTCATCTGGGAGTGAATTTATTCCCTCAGCTTCTCACTAATGGCTGCTATGCCACCTTACAGCATCCTGAGGTACACTCTTTGTGGGCTAAGCTACCTTATTACTAAAAGTTTAGAGTAGGCATACAACAGGATACGTACTGCTCTTTAACTGCACACTTAGCGTTACCACCTTTTGACTTAGTTATGTACAGCTTTGCCTACACACCAAGTATGCCTCGGTTAATCATAGCAGGTGGGATGTTTAGCATACTGCATTCTTCATGGCTGTGGACAGAATGCTACTAGTAGGAATGTCTTAAAACAGTACAGCTCATTTTCACAGCTAGAAAAGGAACAAATGATTGTTGTTTTCTATAGGAATTGCTGTTTTCTCCCACTCTCTACCTCCACTGGATCTTGTCCTCAGGAGCCAGGAGATGTTTCTTTCTCGCTGTTAGAAATCTGATAGTTAATAGGAAGTGACTGAGGAACATTCAGACCACAGTATCACATCTGACATGAGGTGTTTCTCAACTCAGCTGCAGCACAAGAGAGCTTTCCTTTCCTCTGGGTCTCCTTTTGATCCCCGATGCAGCTGATCCTCACATCAAAGGATCTCAGGCCAAGAGGGCCCGACAGGTGGGATCTCAGAGTGGGTGGGAAGATGTGGCATCATTTGGGGATAGTTCTTGTTCTGGCAGAGGAGAACAAGCCATCTAGGTGAGTCTCAATACTTCAGGCTTGTCAAACCTAATAATGAAAGAGGCATCCACCTAATTGTAGAGGTCTACTTTGTGGGTGTTAACAAGCTAGGCTAGTGTTTTCAGCGTGTCTAATGTCAGTGGAGATGAACAGGCATATTTAGGACATAGTTCCTCCAAGCTGTTTTCAGCTTTGGGCTGACATGGATCATGGCTTATATTCCAGTGACTGCACAGATAAGATCTGACCTTAATATGAAGGGAGAGATGGTTGGCCAGCTCAGCCCTAGCAGTTTGGCCAACTAAATCACACCTGAGGTGTCAAAATAAAAGGAGGCGGCACCTTCCAACAAAATACTTTTAACCCTGTCTCAGCAAACACTCTTGCAGTCAGCTTGCCAGTGTCTTTCCCCTATATAAGGTGACAGATGGCTGCCTAGGTCATTTGGCAGTAACTCACACTTTTTTCTCATGAAGCCTTCTCCTGTCCCTGTCAGTGCCTCATGCTTGCCAAGATAATGGCCATTATACTTTAAACACACTTAAATAATGAAGATCAATTTAATAGACTGCTCATGAGGATAACAATAAAGCATAGTTTGCCTGAAATTGTCTTAATTGTTTTCTCCTGAAGATAATTGTTGTCTTCAGAGAGCAAAGTTCTTAGGTAGACTATCCTGACTACTTCAATAGGAAACGCGGTATGCGTATCAGCTGAGATCATCTAAGGCAGTCCGACTGCAGCTGGATATGGGCCACTAGATGATTCTCTTGGCCAATTCCCCTTCTCCTGGGAAAGACAGGGAGCAGATGTTGGAGCAGCACATACTAATTGAACAGCTGGGAACCTTCTTCCATGCTCTAGCAATCCCAGACATTTCATAGTGGGGCTTCTGGTCTTTGAGGTAGGACTTCCATGAATTCTGGAAATTTTGTGGTGACATAGCTAGGGTTTTGATTATGTTCTTGTGGTTGTTTTGTTGGTTTTTGTTGATTTTGTTGAGGAGGGGAAGTTTCTTTAGGTCTGCATATGAATATAGATTTTCTTTTTTGGGGGGAAAACTAAACATTTTACTGTGGAGGCTTCTTTGTCCTGCATCTTATCCGTTAGGATGCAGACAAATGAGACCTCCTGAGATACATATGACTAACATATAGGTGTCTACATCTGGTTTAATTAGTCTTGGCTCCCTTTATACTTTATGAAAACTTAGTCTGGTGGTTTATACTAAGTAGATATATAAAGTAGGTGTAACAGATGACATCCTAACAGTGCCTATCCTTCATTTATGTCTATATAGAGTGCATAGGCTGATTAGCAGAGCTGTATAACATAATCATCTATGTCTTTTGTTAGTTTTCTTTTTTTCCCCTTGTATTTAATGAGGTTACTGAAAGCTGTAAGATGTGGCTAGAGAGGATGGTATAACCGAAGTAAAATATGCAAAGGAAACCTTTGAAGAGTCCAGTTGATTCTTTGGACTGCTTAATGGTGCTGGAATAAAACCAGAGCTGAATGCATTCACAAGGTGTCTGTGCGTGCTTTTCTCAAGAGGAGTCATCTATGCAGCCACGGGGCTATTACTGTGCCGAGGGACTGGGAACAAGGCTGTCTGGTCCAGTGCTTCTGTGATAGAGCTATGTCACCTCAGGGTCCTGCACCTGGACTAAGAGTCACAGCGACAATATCATACAAATAAGTAATTGGGTCAGAGTTTTTCACACTGGGCAGGTAATAGACTTAATTGCTTTTATGACCAAATTGCCTTTTTTCTCATTCATTTAATCTAGGAGCAGGGTAAAGGCAAGGAGATTTGAAAATAATTTACAAGCTAAGAGAAATGGAAGAAGTGAGATGCATAAAATGAAAGGGAAATGATAAAAGGTAAGCGAGGGAAGGGCTTCCACAATGGGAAGAGTAACAGTGTCCAGGTGATGTGAAATTTCAGGGTAATTAGAAGAACCTCGTCAGTACAGGTCTCAGAGAATTTGGATAAGGAAGTGGGCATTCAGCATCTCAAGTTCTTGACATGTATTTGTGGGCCCAGAGATCAGCATGGTTGGCAGCAGGAAAAGCAGAATGGTACAAAGTGTCTGCTCTGGCAGAGGGTTCCTCTACACCTCCTCTAGATGTTCAGACTTGTTTAGTGATAATTTTCTAGGTCTGGAGAGCTTTTCTTGAGTGCTACTCTGTAGAAGGGAAAAATTACTAGATGCTTTCATGCACTTACCTTGCAGGGGACATGTGCCACTCTGCTCTTTCCCAGATAGAAGTCAAAGGAACCAGCTGGATGTGCCTTCCCTGCTCTCCAAACATCTCAGTGCCCTCCACAGCTCCACTGCTGATTTTCCAGCAACAGGTAGAAGTCCTACACTGCTGTTGCTGTGTAGCTCTGAGGTGATACAGGATGGATCAGATGCTGTGGTTCCCATGCAGTCACTTCCGTTCCTCTGTGTGTGTGTCTGCTATGGGAAGTGAGGAGATCCCCTCCACAAGCACAGAGGGTTCATCCTGGACACGGGCCGCCTGCCCATCTGCAAATACCATCTGCAAAATGGTGCTTCTAGAAATTCCCACCCTGCTTCCCCTCAGTTCCTGGCCCTGACAACTCCAGCTACTTTATTGCTTCTCTTTGCAACCAACTTTTTCTGCAGCTCAGGGACAAATTGCCACCCTTCACTCAGCAGCGATGCCATCCTCCCTCCTGTCACTCACTGTGTTTTGCTGACGCTGTCACATTAGTTTAAAAATATAAATAAATCTCTGGGACAGCAAAAACGGTGCTTAGGTAACAGGGAACAGGAGGATTTGGGGGAGGTAGGAGGAGGAAAGAAAAAGAGGAAAAAAAAAATTGATTTAAGAAACTTAATTTAAATAAACCCCTCCTCCAGCTCCTCCTCATTGGTTTCCTTTTCTTCTCCATATTAATGAGGCTATCCAAGGAAAAGCTATTGGTTCCGTACCCCCTTCCCTTTCCTCAGGCACTCGGGGGAGGAGGTGTTTGCATTTCTCCGCAGGACCAGCTCGCTTTGCAGAGCATTGTCTGGGTATGAGAATCACACACACAGAAATACAGGAGAGAGCACACCATAGCCTTGACTCGCAGGCAGAGCATCTGGTCCAGCCTGCACACCCTTTCTCCCACACCCCATCCCTGCTTCCCGAGCACAAACAATAATCCCCTTAAAAAAAAAAAAAAAAAAAAAGGAGAAAAAAAAGTTTGCAGATCTCCTGCCTCCCTTCCTTTTATTTTTCTCCTTGGTTATTTTTGTTTGATTGATTGTTTCCTTGCTTTTTATTTTTATTATTTTTTAATCATTATTTAGCAATGGCAAATTCCTTCACGGCCAGGACCTGGCCCATCCCCTGAGCAGAGGCAGCCTGGACATGACCAGCAGGAGAGGGAGGAGGAATTTGGATTCCCTTCGGAGGCGCCGACCCCTCCTCCGCCTGGTGCGAGCTAGGCGGGGGGAGCCCGGCTGCGGCCGCTCACTTCCACCGCGGGCAGGGGCTGGACGGTTCCGCCGGGGAACTGGCCCGTGTCCCCCCGCCGCCGGCTCCCGCCCCGCCCGGCACGGCGGGGATGCAGCATCGCCAGCGCCGGGACGGATCCCTGCTGCAATGGTGAGTGCTTTCCACCGGGCTCTGCTCCGACCTCCACCAGCGCAGCTCTGCGCCGGCTGCCCCCGGGCAGGGGCCGCAGGGCAGTAGCCGCCGGGTTCTGCCCAGGAGCCGCCAAAGCCAAGCGCCGCTCCCGCAGCCGGCTTTACCGGAGAGGAACCGCCGGCTTGTTTTCGAGTGACATGGATTTACCGGCTCTCCCCTCATCTTCCCCGGGTCCTGGGAATACTTCTTTTAGGGAGAATTGCATGCAAGCTCTCTGCCCTTAGCCAGAGCTGTAGGCTTGGAGGAGGCGTCCGCGAGATAGATTTGATTCTTTCCAAACAAATAAATCTCCCTTTGCAAGTGGTGACGGGTTAACGTGCTCGGTATGGGAATCACGTCTCTTTTTAACACAATATGGCTGGTAAATAAAACCTGATTGCTAACAGCCCCGGTGCTGCTGTCGGCATGTTTGAGCTCAGGGCTCCCTTTGCAGTTCTGCATCCTCACCTGCCGCAGAAACTCTGATTCACCCTTCAAGCAGTGCACCAGTACCTCTCTATTTTTACTGTGGGGTAGTAGTAAAAATTGCTGTTAATGTGACTTTGACCCCTGCTTGCATGCCTCTGCGCGCTTCTGCTTATCAGTATTTGAACAGCTGGTTCTAATAATACTATCTTTATGCAAAGCACATCTTAAGTCGGAGGAATAGCATACAGGGCAGACTCTTTAACGCTATGCTCTGAATTTAACGTGAACAGTTCAGGTATGTATTGGAATCTGAAGAGTTTACAGACAGGAAGAGAAAGATAATGCAACATGCTATTCAGGACTGGAAAATGCATGAAAAAGAGAGATTTGTTTAGTGGCATACTGGTGTTTGTGGCTAGATGATCATCCCGCTTACATAGAAGCAGGTTTGGAAGAGCTCCCTGGAAGTCAGCGTCTTTCCTCTGCATCTAATCTGCTGGTAAACAGATTGTGGCCTTTAGCTTGAGGAATATATTGGAGTAATACTGGACTTAATTATGGTAATAATTAAAAATATATACCAAAGTGAATAAGTCAGCAAAGTGACCTGATTCTTTCCTAGGATATTATGGATTACTATCCATTTTATGTATGCTAATTACAGTGCAAGTGCTGGATTGATACGGCAATGTGCAACATAACTTAAGTAGCTTTTTGGTTGGGTGGTTTTGTTTTTTTGTTTTTGTTTTTTTTTTTAAATCTGTTGGTGTCAACAAACAACAAATGGATTTTCATTTGATGTTTTTTGGGTACACAGCCATCTCATTTCTCTATTCAGTCTATGCAGCGCTGGTCAGGTACAGTGGGGAGTCATTTCCATGGCTAGCACAGGCTAATCAAAGGGAATGTGTGATTACTTAAGGTTACTGTCAATGACAGCATGAAGGCAAAGTCCCTAAAGTGATGTGCGTATAGCTACAGAGAAAGAACACATTATACAGGCATCTGTATTGGGTCATGCAAACCACGTTGGAGCTGTCTTAAAAGAAGTTGTCCTGTAGGATGGTTAAGGCAGCACTGCTCCAATTTGATGAATAATTAAGAAATACTGTTCAGTGTAATAATGGGAGTTGGATTAAAGTTGATGTCTCTGTTTGTGTCTTGATTACAGTTCTGGGTTATGGTCTTCTATTCCCCCTCCCTCCCCCACCTCTCGTACCGTTTTTATGTGCTGAGGGCAATGGTTGCTGGACCATTCAGGATACCTAATACGTTATTGTACTGGCAGTCTATCTCGGACTACGTGAGTGGAAGGTTTCTGTTGTTTTGTTTTCTCCAGTCGAAGGTGTATGTGCAGTGACTGGAAGGGTAGCCACTGGTACTGAACAGATCCAAGGTCATAGGGGATTTTATGTGTGATAAACATATTTGTTTATCTTTAAGCAGGAAGCTAGCATTGTGATCACTCCTTGGCATTCGCTTTCCATCATTCATTGTTATCCCTGGAGGAAAACAGGAGGGCTCTTTCCTCCTTGTAGATTTAAGATGTCTGCTGCTTGCGTGGTGGTGCCACAACTGCATGTAGCTCTTTAGATCTGTTGTTGTTAGTGTGTATGCAAAGCTCATAAACACGAAGGCAGAAGCTTTGTTGTGGGAAGCTACCAGGGAGAGAAAACCAGAGATTTCTGAGATTGTGGGCTGCACCGTTTATCACGTTCAGACCTTTGTTCATCACATCTCTCTTCATTTGGCTGACTGAGCCAGCATCCTGGAGATATTTTTTTCTGGGGTTGAGTTCCATATGTGCCTATGCCTTAGATAAGTTGAGACCCATGTCCCCAAGATGATTCATTTGAATCTAGCAGATTTTGTTTTCTTTTCCTTCCTTATGAGCACACTTAGTACAAACATTCTAATTCCTAAATTAGCTCAGATTATCTTTTAATGAAACCAGAGTGTTTGAGTTAAGAAGCACTGAGAAAAAGTAAACTCAGGACAGACATATGCTGTAGCTCATATCTGGTGGAAAAGCCTGGGGGTCTTTACATTTAGTCCTGATTTAATAAAGGAGTTATTTACTTGCCACAGTTCTCAGGAGAGGTAAAATGGTATCAGGATATACAAGTCAGTGGAGATACTGAACTTTATTTTACCTCACTGGTTGGCCTAGAGAGTGCAGCCTCAACCTTTAAGTCAGCAAAGTGTATTTTTGTGTTGGCTCATGCTCCTTTGTTTCCATTCTGCGTTCTCCTTTCACATCCAGCCATCCCTTATCACCTGTGAAGACACTGGGGGTGGGAATCAGTACACACCGCCGTCTACAGGATGTTGGAGTGAGATTTCCACAACAGTGCAGAAGTGGAACAGCTCTACTGAAAAGGATTTAAACACACCAGTGAGGAACTCCCACTTTTTTCCTATCCACAACTTTGAAGTCATCTTTGCTGATAATATATCATCAGGTATAGCTGTACCACTTTCAGAGTACTCCTTCTACCCAGTATATACAGCAGCATCCCTTGATGAGATTCTTTTCCAGTTTCCTTAGTGCTGAACTTGTTTTATTCTCAAGGAATAAATGTTTTGCATACTGAAATGTATTTGGTAGTTTTCCACAACACTAACAAATACTAGGTAGAATTCATGTGTCTGTGGTGGCTGACTGGATTGTAATTGAGTGGGCACAAATATATGGGAAGAAAAACGTGCTTCTTTTCAGAATGCCTCATAGCAGAATATCCAGTCCTCACCCCATTGCTTTTCTTGTGTTCTATTCTCTGTCCACCTTTTGCTCTCTCAATTTATTGGTCTGTCTTCTTAGGCTTGAACTTTTATCTCCACAAGACAATCTAGGAACTCATAAAACAAACCAGATTGTTTAAGTCTTATGTAATTCACTGCAGTTCATTGATTGTATCCACATGCAAGCTGATTGGATGACCTGTAGAGTAGCCAGATTAATAATTTCAGGATAGAACTTTTTAGGAGGTGCTAAATCATTCCATCTCCTGAAGGAAGGGTAGAAGCATCATCACACAGCGTTTAAAGCTAACATGGTTTTGTGCTGAGGAATATGCCCTTGGAAAGGTTCCTGTGGAAATATACAGAGGCAGTTACAAGGACTTTTGTTTGCTGCTCTGATTTTGTGCTGCTGTTGAATCCAAATTCTTCTGAGGTAATTACCCCATGAAATGAGTTGATTTGCATTTGACATCAGAGTTTATCTGCCCTAGAGACATCCTGGAAGTCTCATTCCTGCCCATTCAGGTGTTAAATTTTACTCTTGGATGGCTTAAGGCAGGACGGTGTTCTGAAATGGCTCTGATTTATTAAATTGACAAAAAGAGTTTTAAAAGGTATGAAAACCTTTACTTAATACCACTCTTAAAAACACCCCAAACAACCCCCAAAACCAAACCAAACAACAAATTAACTCAATAACTGTAGGTTTTGTTAGTGTAACTCATTATGCACTCTAACACTGACAGAAAAGGGTACAAATATTGACATGGCCTAATTCTTCTTCTTAATAGTTATGGTGATAGCGATAATAATTTCCTTTCTAACGTGTTTAGAATATCAAATTCTAAGAGCTCCTTATGGAATATACATTAAACTTCTGCCACTTGTTTAACACCAGCCAGCAGCTAAGTATTGTGTACCGGCTCACTCACTCCTCACCTCCCCACAGGAATGGTGAGGAGAATCAGAAAAAGGTGAAGAACACAGCTCAAGGTAAGAACAGCTTAATAATGGAAATAATTATAATAACAACAGTAACAACAATAAGAATAGTAACAATAATATTATGGGAGACAATAAAAGAGGGAGAGGAATAAAACACAGGACAGACAAGTGATGCACAATGCAATTGCTCACCACCCAATGACTGATACCCAGCCTGTCCGTGAGCAGGGATTGGTGGCTCCCAGCCAACTTCCCCCAGTTTAAATACCTGGCATGATGTGCTGTGGTATGGAATACCCCTTTGGCTAGCTTGGGTCAGGTGTCCTGTTTCTGCTTCCTCCCAGATTCCTGTGCCCCTCCCCACTGGCAGAGCATGAGAGACTGAAAAGCCCTTGATGTACTACTGGCCAACAGGTAAAACATTGCTGTATCAACTTCTCATACTAAAGCCAAAACACAGCACTGCACCAGCTACTGGGAAGAAAATTAACTCTGTCCCTGTGAAACCAGGACAGCCACATATGTTTGCAGGCTTGTCGATCCAATGTTGAGGAATTTCATAAAATCCTCAATCACAGTGGCTTTTGCACTCCATTAGAAATGACTGGGTCATGATTGCTCAGGAGCTGCAAATGGAAGGATAATTATAGTCCGTTATCTATGATATGTTGGGCCTGCTAAATGGAGCTGAGGGTTAGGGCACGGAAGACCCTTTTAATGTGCATGGTGGATTAATAGCCTAATATTTTAAATTTTTGTTCTTTAGCTCCACAGAATGAGGCGAGGCAAGTTGTGCTACTTTCTTTTCCTGCAAGGGACAGTATATTGTCCTATCTGGTTGGGTGGGGATTCTTAAGGAAAAA